AGAGTTTCCTGCTCTGTAATTATTGTTTGCCAACATCAGGAGCTGGTTCCCAAAATAATCTTTCCTCATATGAGTAGATCTTACCCACGTGATTTGTTCCAGTGAAATCAGTTATCTGTTTTAAATACTGCCTCTGAGATAAAAGGAGATTACAGCATCAGACCTCCCACAGAATTTGCCTGACAGCTTAATTGTTTAATAAGCACAGTCCCAGCCTGCTCTACCAAGTTTTGCCTGTGTAGGTCTACTGGTTCAAGATCTGAAATTTTCTTGGACTTTTGTTGATGGCAAAATCTTAGACAACAATACAATGATTCTCTCTTCCAAGATGATGACATTTTTGTCTATGTCATGTGATGAGGGGCGTAGAGGAGCTATGCAAATAATTAAAAAAAAAAAAAAAAAAAAGAGAGTAGCTCCTTCCAGTAGCATGTGTTGCATGCAATTACCCCATAGGCAGAATTATAATGGCAGGTGCACTATCGCATAGAGGGGTCTACATTTGCCCATTTAAAAAAAAATTACTGTCTTCCTTGGTGCTTTGTAAAAAAAAAAAAAAAACCAACCAAACAATCAACATACAGAAAACAAGCAAACAATAACACAACTAATTATTTCCTACTGCAGGCTGTAAACAAAAGACAGGGTGTGGAGGTGTGCTCATGCTTTTGACCTGTTATTTCAGTGGTATGACTCCTGTTTGTCTACAAATCACGGACCACTTTCCTTTTAATCCATTGGAAACATAAACTATCAATGTTCATCTGCTGACTAGCAGCTAAGTTAAATGGCTACAGTAGCCTAAGAGACTATGAAGAGTGGTAATAAAAAATGGAGCATCAAGATACACCTGAAAATAAGTTGCTTCTAGCTGTCATGTAGGATTTCTTCATAAAGTATACTAGCCACAGAACCAGCTCAGGGCTGCCTACCACACTGTACTCTCCTCTCCAGGCTACTGTTTCATTAAATACAGTTGGGGGTTACAAAGATGTTAGTGGGTGCAAATGGAAGCTGTGAGGCATTTGCTAGGAAGACCCCCTTTACCTACCTTCCATCCTTTAATATCCTGAAGTTTATAGAGCATAATTCAGTTCTTTTGCAAATTTGTGAGAATGCAAGTAAGATGCTATTTAAACTTAGAATCATAGAATCATTTAGGTTCGAAAAGACCTTTAAGATCATCAAGCCCAACCATTAACATAACACTGCCAAGACCACCACTCAACCATGTCCCTAAGCACCACGTCTACATGTCTTTTGAATACCTCCAGGGATGGTGATTCCACCACTGCCCTGGGCAGCCTGTTACAATGCTTGTCAACCCTTTTGGTGAAGAAATTTTTGCTAATATCCAATCTAAACCTCCCCTGGTGCAACGTGAGGCTATTTCTTCTCATCCTGTCGCTTCTTACTGGGGAGAAGAGACCGACACCCACCTTGCTACAACCCCCTTTCAGGTAGTTGTAAAGAGAGAAAGGTCTCCCCTCAGCCTCTTTTTCTCCAGGTTGAACAACCCCAGATCCCTCAGCCACTTGTCATAAGAGTTGTGCTCTAGACCCTTCAGCAGCTCCGTTGCCCTTCTTTGGGCGTGCAGCTTGTCATGGAATGAATGGCTTCTGATATGCAAGGGTTATTGGATATGACATTTTTGCATACATAATTTTTAGGAAGTGAATTTAATTATAATTGAATGCAGTGTCTTCATTCCCAGGAAATAGAACTTGCATTACAAGCGTTTTTTAACATCTTCTGAAGTAAATATCACTAATGAGTCCTAAGATTACAATTACTTCTCCATTTATGACATGCAATAGGCTTTCTCTAGACACCACATATTAATAATGTAGTAATAATGGGGCATTTGGACTGTGTAAATGAAAGTAAGATCTCCCTGCTAACACCAGGTGTAAGGTGCTTATGTCATCAAAGATAACTGCAAATTGTGAACACCAGGTAAATTATTTTTTATTCCTATCTATTAAAGCTCTAGAAACTGGAAGAGTTATCAGTTTGAACACTCTATATAAAGTAGCTTGCAGTTAACAGAGAAGGGGGGGAAAAAAAATCAAAGTTGTAGACCAGCTTCCATACAAGAAAAAATAAATGAAGTAAAGCTGTTCAGGCTGGAAAACATGACTGAAGGGAGAAAAGAGAGAGGCAAGGAATAGGTGACTATGGATGAATTTACTGAAACTTGCAGTACAAGAATATCAAATAATACAAGGAGGAGACAGATGATGAACAAACAAAATTAGATAATTCATCACTGAACTCACACCTAGGCGATAGAGCACCCTGCTTGCTACAGGATGATGCAGATCTCAGAGGCTTACCTTGGTCCAAAATACAAGGCTAACTTGACATACTTGACTAATCACAAAATGTAAATGCCTAGAAAATAATAAAGGCACAGAAGAAGGGAAAAATCTATCAGAAAAAGACAGAAGTACATTTGCACAAACTCTTTTTCTAACCATCTGATTACTGGCAAACTATAGCAAACTTCTAAAAGTACTTTAATGGATTAACCAAAATGAAAAAGCTGCTATATAAATTACTTGCTCTCTTGTCCCAATTCTAGTTATTACTGATAAGAAACTGGAAAGAATAGAAGTAGTTATATACAAACTGAAAGGGGTTTGATAAATTGTTTCTGGTTTTCAGTCATTTCTTGAAAGTTTTTTATCTTATGCTCTTATATACACACCAAATGGTCTTTTTCAGTCACAAGGTGTTTTTGTTAAGCTCAGCAACATTTTTTCTAGGCCAGATAAAACAAAATAGTATTGGATACTCGTTGGGAAGCTATTGCTGTATTTCCCTTGATGTGTCATCACATGCTATTTGTGCGTTTCTCTATGTGGCTTTGACAGAATATTGCTGATTTTAATCTGTTGCATTTAATGTATTTTCACATCCAGTGACTGAGAGGTCACCGAGTAATGGGAATATTGACAGGTCTGGTTCTAAGCCCTCGGCCATAAAACGAGCTTTAATGATGAGCGTTTACAAAAGCTGGACCGATGGGAAGATAATAGAAGTTGTCCTCCATTGAGCAGAGATTGAAAGAAAAATCTTGGTGTTGCAAAGGTGTTTACATGGGATGAGAAGCACTGTGTTTGCCTGGAGGGAAAAGAAGATGTCTTCTGGCAAACCAGCCTTATTTTCTTCAAATAATCTCCAAGGAAACAGCCTCTGCCAAGCTAGGATCTGATTACCAGTTGCAGGCCTCAGACTGTAGCCATTATTGTTTTAACATTTCTGCCTTCCTCTTTATCCCAGCGGGAACCAGGCTGTATGGGCTGCCCTGTAACTTGACCTTGCTTGGAGATAAAAAGACAGGTTAGCACACAGCGATCACAAAGCCAGAAGCAAAAAGACAGTATTCAGAAAATAAAGGAAGGAGTTGGCACAGTATGATTATGTGTGATGTTCTACACTGTGCGGCGTGGGTGGCCTGATGAACAGTTTCTGTCCACAAAACCCAGACAGAAACTTGGACTTGGTCATAGTTTCTCCGTTTTTAACCTTGTCTGTGCAGAGATGCTGTGATTTTCATCACTAAGATACTAATGATGATGATTCCTGCAACATCTGAGATTATGAAAAAAAGGAAAGAAAAAAAATCTACATAAAATGTTAATGGTCTTGGTAAATAAAATGAATAGTAAGTCAGCAGAAAGAGTTGGATATGAATCTTTAAGTCTTTGTTGCTGTTTTACTACTGTCCTGTGAGATTTCCATGCAACAAGCCAGTGAGCCCAGAGGTCAGCAGCTGTTAGGTATGACATGTCTGAAAGTGTATGAGAGACGCTAAAGAAAATAAATGCTCAGTGATTAAGCATCCAGCATCTAAAATCTGAAAAAAAGTGTAAAGGGGAAGAGAGATTCTGTTACGATCAACTATGGGTGCTCAAACTGGTATGACAACTGTACATCACACACATGGTCACTGTCAAAACTCAACCAAGCCACAGCTGCAAGGCCATGAGGTCCCAGCTAAATCATGGTGGAGGCAAAGTTAAGTGACAGATTTTCTTTGGCATGTCTCAACTGCCACCTCATCCCACAAAAGCAAAGCTCACGAAAACTTAGCTATGATTCTGTAAAGATTTCAAGCCAAGAGCAGTAGAAGTGTTTTTTCATATCAGACCAATATGGCAGATAATAAATATCCGAGGTTCTGATCACTGATAACTTCCTACATAGGCATGGGCAGAAAATACAATTTCTGTAATCAAGTTTCCTGACAGATAATGCTACATTGTTCTTAACACTTCCTCACTCTCTCTCTTATGTCTTTAGGTTATAAGCTCTTCAGAGCAAATACCCTTGTGGTGCTCTTATCACAGAGCATTTTAGTACTATTACAGTACGTGTCAGACCAGAGAAAGGAGTTGCAGCTGAGTTACCTCTAGTTACATGGGATTTCTGGTTGCATTCTTGCCTTTATTTTGAATGGCTCCTCAGAGTTATACAAGATTCGGATTAAAACCACAACAAAACAGCCTGTAGTCCCAGTTATCTGTACTGATGTCAGTGGAAGGAACTGGTACTTGTGCAGAGGTGGCTCATTTGCAGCTTTCTAAATCCTGATTAGTTTTTCTAGCTATTGTTTACAGGTAGCAGAATACATTTTGCATCTTGGGCCTTTGGAGTCATTGAGACCAAACCAAGGATTAAGCTGCTTGGGCCATCAAACCTGATTTTGTTCTGCAAACAGAAAAATTATGTACCTGCATCCACTTCAAAAATGCTTGAACTTCTCAAGAGAGACAAAGAATTAGGTTACATGATATATTTGTAAAGCTTTATTTTCCTCATCATTTTACCTTGTGTGAATTGTGTATGCTCAGGGGTGGCCAAAAAACAAAAATCCCCAGAGAACAAACTAGCATTGAGCCTGGTTACAGCATCCTGCCACAGTTAAATGTTTCTTTTTTAATTACTTGATGAAAAAAACAAATTGACTTTCTTTGTGTTTTTCCTCCTTCCAGACTTTGACAGCACCTGCTCCATTTGCAGACGAAACAAGCTGTCAGTGCCAAGCCCCCCATGAGAAGCTGACCATTGCACAAGCCCGCCTGGGAACACCAGGTATGTGTAAAGAGCTACATCGGCAGGACCATGGGCACTCCCAAAGCACAGGCTCTCCCTTACAAACATCTGTCAATTCTCACTTGGGCCTTCCACTTGGAAGCAGAAGGGTCAGCATGGTATCTGGTGCTATCAGGTAATGGGGAAGAAACCAGCAACTACAGGACCATTATCTTCTGTTAGAGAAATAAGAGAAAACATTTTGAGTTAAGAGTTTTATGTTTTTGTGGATGTCTGCGTGTTGGTCGGAAGGAAGGCTTTGCAGCCCGTTCCAGCCAGCCTGAAAATTGTGTTGTCTGGTGGCTACCTCCGGGATTCTCTTCCCATACTGCCTCTGTATGCTGGAAAACTTCTTTCACTGATGTTCCTGTTGATCACATCAGACCTTAAGGGCCCTTAAAGGCCATTTGCCCTTTGCAAAGAAACCATGCCAAATTTCTTTATCTGGACATTTGTGATTGGGCTGGGGAAATGGGATGATTTCACATAAAGTCCCAGCTTGATACTTCAGCCACCCTAAATTCCAAGAGATTATCTTTTAAAAGCCTTTGTTTACTTATTTTACTTATTTAAAATAAGCTTTTAAAGTACATACCCTTTGTAGGAGTAAGCCACAGCTTTCCAGTCAGGTCTGCAAGGAACAATGTTCTCTCATGGATCCTTGGATATCCTGACAGCAGACATCTATCTGTAGCACTGAAACACAGTCCATGGAGGTTGGAGCTCTGTTGCTCTCAGCTCTGCTGTCCTGTTGCTTGGAGGTGGCGCAGCTGTCAGGCGTGTAATTTGGTAAAGCAAATCCTTTTTCGATGTGGAGGCTGCTGCTGAAGATGTCATACAGAAAGCAAGAGTTATAAGGGTGATAGCAGAAGGATGATGAGAAAAAATGATAGGCTCCTTAGAAAGAAGAGCTTGGGGGAAGTATGAAAAAAGGGACATGAAAGGTTTGTCTGGAAGAGATAAGCAATATATTTTTACAGTGGTAAGCTGTGGAAAAAAGAAAGTCATAGACAAGAGGGGAGGAAAAGGGAGATGACAGGAAAAAATAAGGAAAAAAAAAAATCCAGAAGGCAGAACTGACTAGAAAGGTAGAGAGAAAAGAACAAGACATACGGTGGAACTCCAAATGAGGCAGAAAGATGACATTTTTGCTAAATTAGAATACAGAGATGATGGATGATAATAAATAGGCTGTAAGAAAACAGCAGAGACTACAGAGAAGAACAAGAAATGTGCAGGATAAAACACTGCAATTTCACCCATGGTGTTTTTGAACATTGGAACTGGGGTAAATCTCTGCAATCATCTGATCTGAGAGGAAAAACCTGTCCAGTAGAATTAAGTGCAGCTTGTTTTGGGCGTGAAAAATCACTGTTGTGTTTCTTTCTCCACAGTTGACAGACCTGTCAGAGTGTATGCAGATGGGATATTTGACCTTTTCCACTCTGGCCATGCTAGAGCTCTTATGCAAGCCAAAACTCTATTCCCAAATAGCTACTTATTAGTAGGAGGTAAGATCAGAGTTATTTATTGCACTGTATTTTTGCTTCTGTGCTTCAGTATCAGAGGGTTACTGCTGTGCTAGCACCCCCAGCTGTTTATATAGTATGACTTTGAATGCTACTTTCACTCTGGGGGCTTTCTATAGGCGATTTGCATTAAATTACGTCTTAAAATTGCATCAATTAAAGTAAAAGTCAAATTCTACCCTCAGCAGCACAGGCACAATTCCCATTCTAGTTAAAGCAGATGCCTGCATGACTCTGAGCTTAGAATAGCTCCATATGAGTAACTTACCTTTTTCAGTTATTCGCTCAAAATTGTTCAAAGATGGAGATGAGTGAATGAGATCAACTGCTCATTTATTTCTGGCTCCTCGGTCCCTCCGCCAGCCATCAGTACTGTGTGTGCAGACCCAGCCTTCAACATCAGCAGAGAAGCTGAATCTGGCCTGTTATCATTGTAGACCCAAATGTAGGTCAGGATTTGAATGTAGTTTTCAGCTTACAAGTGTCCCCAGGCAGGTTACTTTCTTATCAGTTTTTGGTTTTTTTGTTTTTTTTTTTTGCCATGAATATCTTATTTTTTTGCTGTGTGGCTGGCTAACAGCTGCTCAGCAGTTGGTACGTGCCTGAGGAATCACTGGAGGGTGGCTGTGTCCCGCCTAGCTGGCTGCGCTAACCCTGCTCTCATGAGGCCTCATAAACATGTATTTCAGTTCCACTTTCCCTGCACATTTGGGTTTGAGATATGCCTCGCATAAACATTGCACAGCAACCTCCTGCTGCTCAAATGCTTACAGCAGTGGTGATAAAGCGAATGTGAATACAATCTTCAGACATTTTATAAGATACATGATTTCATAGCTTTGTCCCAAATCAGTTAAAATGTGGGGAAAAAAAAGACCCAACATAGAGGAAAAGCAAAATCTTATAAACACAATCCTTGGTTTTACTCTTAAGTTTATGAATAGTGGCAAATCCCATGGAGCTTCCTGGGAGGGAAAGGAGACATCCCTTTGTTATGAAGGAAACATTTAGGACTCCT